GGCAGTCAGAGGGACTAGAGATGAAATCATGACTTAGGACTCTGGGATGTAAGCAATTTTTGTCATTGCTCTTGGCCCTGTTTCCTACACTGAACATTTTTATGAACTTCTGTTGGTGGACCTAATCACTCATTTCTCTTGGGTCTATTCCTAGTCTCTCCGCTAAGTCAAACAGTGCCCCTGTGATGAGATTGAGAAGAAGCTCACAAACCATTTGTTAAAAAGATTGTACGAACTCATCAGCAACATTTTTCAGACACTTACCGAGCACTTGGGTATCCTCTTTTGTGAAGAACCTTTTCAAGTCTTCTGCCCATTTTTTATCGGGCAGTTTGTCCTGATGGAATTGATCTGTGAGAATTCTCTCTATGGTCTGGACACTAGCTTTATGTAGGATGTAAGTATTGCAGATATCTTCTCCCAGTCTTCAACTTGCTGTTTCACTCTCTTACTGATGCATTTTGATGGACAGACATTGTTAATTTTAATAAAGCCTAAGTTATCAAGTTTTAAAATGGTTGGTGTTTTGGGGGCCATGTTCAAGTAATCTTTGCCGATCCTAAAGTCGCTAAGGCATGCTGTGCTTTCTCCTGAAAGTCTCATTCTTTTACTCTTCAAATTAAGTCTACAATCCACTTTGAATTTGTTTTCCCTGTAGGTTTTTTGTATGCTGTATAGGAGTAATAGAAAGAAAAGCTTAACAGAATTCCAGAACTAGAGTTAAATATTAATGGAAATTTAGAGTATTATAAAAGAGGCATCTCATATGGGTGGACAAACATGTAAACTTTTAAAGAAGTGTTGTTGAGCTAACTGGGGAGCCCTATGGCAAAAGACTGAACCCAATCAATTTCTTGCAAGAATAAATTCCAAACGGAGAATCTAAATTTTAATTTAAATCAATAAATATTAGAAGGAAGCAGGACTGAATTTTCTTGTAACTAGGGGCAGGAATAGTTGGTCAGCATCGTTAATTATCAGGAAAGCGAAAGATACCACTTCACACCTACTAGAATAGCTGAAATTAAAATGACTGACAATAATTGGTGACGGGGAGTGTGAGGAGCAACTGACCCTCTGGTCCTGTGCTACTAAGACTGTATGTGGGTACCACCACTTTGGCAAACTATGTGGCAGTTTCTCTTAAAGTTGTGCATATTCTACCCTATGGCTCATAAATTTCACTCTTTATTACCCACCCACTGGCTGAGTGAGGGGCGGGAGCAACACCGAGGGTTGCGATCCCGTGGCCGGTCCCGGTCCAGTACGGGCGCGACACTGAGGGTTGCGATCCGTTGCCGGTCACAGAAAAAGACAAAAAGGAAAAAAAAAAGAAAAGATTGTACGAACTCATCAGCAACATTTTTCAGACAATTACCGAGCACTTGGGCATCCTCTTTTGTGAAGAACCTGTTCAAGTCTTCTGCCCATTTTTTATCGGGCAGTGTGTCCTGATGGAATTGATCTGTGAGAATTCTTTTTATGGTCTGGACACTAGCTCTATGTAGGATGTAAGTATTGCAAATATCTTCTCCCAGTCTTCAACTTGCTGTTTCACTCTCTTACTGATGCATTTTGATGGGCAGACATTGTTAATTTTAATAAAGCCTAAGTTATCAAGTTTTAAAATGGTTGGTGTTTGGGGGGCCATGTTCAAGTAATCTTTGCCGATCCTAAAGTCGCTAAGGCATGCTGTGCTTTCTCCTGAAAGTCTCATTCTTTTACTCTTCAAATTAAGTCTACAATCCACTTTGAATTTGTTTTCCCTGTAGGTTTTTTGTATGTTGTATAGGAGTAATAGAAAGAAAAGCTTAACAGAATTCCAGAACTAGAGTTAAATATTAATGGAAATTTAGAGTATTATAAAAGAGGCATCTCATATGGGTGGACAAACATGTAAACTTTTAAAGAAGTGTTGTTGAGCTAACTGGGGAGCCCTATGGCAAAAGACTGAACCGGATCAATTTCTTGCAAGGATAAATTCCAAATGGAGAATCTAAATTTTAATTTAAATCAATAAATATTAGAAGGAAGCAGGACTGAATTTTCTTGTAACTAGGGGCAGGAATAGTTGGTCAGCATCGTTAATTATTAGGAAAGCAAAAGATACCACTTCACACCTACTAGAATAGCTGAAATTAAAATGACTGACAATAATTGGTGACGGGGAGTGTGAGGAGCAACTGACCCTCTGGTCCTGTGCTACTAAGACTGTATGTGGGTACCACCACTTTGGCAAACTATGTGGCAGTTTCTTTTAAAGTTGTGCATGTTCTACCCTATGGCTCATAAATTTCACTCTTTATTACCCACCCAAGATAAACGAAAGTGTATGTCCACCAAAGACTTCCACCGGGATGTTCACAGTAGCTTTGTTCACAACAGCCCAAACCTGGAAACAATTCAACGTCCATCATGTAAGAAGGGGTTAATGACCTGTAGCATATGCACACAAAGGAGTAAAAAAGAACTAACTTTTGATAAAAGTGACAACATACATGAACTCTAAACATATGATGGTGAGTAAAAGAAGCCAGATCAAGAGAATAATTTCTGTTTAATTTCATTCATATAACTTCAAGAACAGGCCCGATGATTCTACGGAACAGAAGTGCAGGGCTGATTACCAGTCCCAAGAGAGGAGAAGAGCAGAAATCATCACTCTGCCAATCTCCAGAAACAAGAGTCCATAGACTTCTGCCTTCTGAGTCCCAGGCTGCTGTTGAGGTCCATTAGGTGCTGATTACCCACTGGAATGACTGAGAGGGAACACACTCACACATTACAACGTATGAGAAATGGCTGTATTACTTCCAGATAGGCAGCAAGGAACAGAAGTTTGGAACTACCGTGAGCTTGTCTGACAAACACGGGAAAACTGCCCAGGACAAAAGGGTCTTGAGTGTGCATGCCCCATTTTCTACCACAGCTGAGGGACCCCAAAAAGCAGCCTGCCCTGGGCTCTATACCTCAGAGGCCATGTGGTACCGTCTATTCCTAGTCTCTCCGCTAAGTCAAACAGTGCCCCTA